TGTACGTTCTCAATGGTGGGGGACAAGGCTGACCTGTAGCCAACGATTGTGCTTGGGGCAAACCCACTTTGTCAAACAGGTGGACGAAGAAGCCTGCTACCTGGCCAATAGAGGGATGGTATGGATCAATCTCCCTTCCGCTGCACCAATCAGTGTATGCTCGCAGCCTAGAAATGTAGGCTGCATTGGTGGAATCCCTGTTCGTCCTGGCCAGGACGTTGGCAGCCCGCTCAGATAAAGCTTTTGTATGGGCGGGTCTAATGAGAGCCTCTATGCGGGTAAGTGATACCCGCTGGGCTCGTTGGTAGTGCGCCGTCTGGTTGGGACGGCAGGTCAGGTAAGTCCAGAAGCATTATTGGTGCTTCGACTAGCATTTCCAACAGAAGTGGAAACTAGGCCTTGTTTGGTCAATTGGGCGCGACCACTAATAATATGCAGGTGTGCACCTGTTGAAGTTTTCTTCGGTGCCCGGTGAACTAGCGCCAAGGGAGGAAAGGCGTACACAACTAAGTGGGTCCACAGGGTTAGCAAAGCGACCCTGGCCCAAGCTCGTGGAGTTGGCAGGAGTGTTACGTATGTCGGGAGCTTGGCGTTCCGAGGTGCGGCAAACCGGTCTAACCTGACCGCCCCACAGCCGAAGCAGCCTGGAGGCTTGTATCGGCCAGCCCGTGTTCTGGAGACGGAGCCGCCCTGAAAGGGCGTCTGCCAGACTGTTCCTCACACCTGGAAGGTGGTGTGCGGTTAGCTCTGCATTGTATTCCAGGCACCAAAGGAGGATTTGCTCCGCTGGTACTGACAACGATGAGGAACGCGTCCCCTCCCTCATTCTTGAAGGAGACCACCGCTGCGTTGCCTGTGTGGAGCAGGACTCTGTGGTCTTGAACTACTGGTAGAAAGCATGGTAGTGCTAAGTATACTGCTTTCAGTTTGAGCCGGTTGATATGGTAGTCCCGAAACTAATGCGGGCCATATCCTTGGACTTGTTCATCCAGTAGATGCGCTCCCCAACCTTGGGAGGAGGCATCAGTTACCAGAGTCACACCTGCGGCGAGAGGGTCCAAGGTGCCCCCATTCCGAGGTTGGCCAGTTACGACCACCAGGGCAGGGCTTCCTACACTTGGTCCCAGATCAAAACCCGCCTATCTAGTTCCCATAGGAGAGCTTGGCGTTATAACAAGCGTTATACAGGGCGGCTGCATAGTGCGGCCAGGGGAACGACCATTCAAACCTAGGTCATCATTCCGATGATCCGCATTAGTTCTCTGAGGAACACTGAGGGAACACTGACTAGGCATTTGGCTAGGCTGCTTAGCGCTAAGCAACACACTTGCAATAGCTAAACCAAGCTTACCTCTGTGTCAAAACTCCATGCCCAGGGACACCAACTGCGTGTTGGGTCGAGGTGTGGGGCTAGCCAGTCGAAACGATGGATGGAGAGAAGAACCCTGAATGGTGTCTCCATGTGGAACCGATCGAGGAGCACGTACTGATTCAGTCTGCCTAGGTCCAGAACTGGACGCCCGCCACTTGTAGGTTTGGTACTACGAACACATTTGGGTAGAAGCCTGGATTTAGTTCCGGCTGATGTACTGGCGCCTTTTCCCAGCAAACTGCTACTTCCTGTCTGATTGCTTCTGCCTTGCGGGAGTTCCCTGGCAGTGCCCAACAGGGGAGACACTGACGGGGGATATGGAGATTTCAGCGGTATCCCGTAACCGAATGTCACCACCTGGGAAGGTCCAGGGATCGGTCACCCGCTGTCTCCAAACCGGACTACACTGGCGCAATCTGTGTACGACAGGGATATGTGGCCATGGGTTCGGCAGTTGCGAGGGGGGGTGTTCTCTTCTCCCCTGAGGTGAGTTCCCCAAGGCCTGAAGTAGTCGCTAAGTTGTGACCTGGCCACTCGCCGAACACATGCCTGTCCCCCCCGGTTGCAGAGGTGAGCATCAAACACGCTTTCCCCGCTGTCGGGGTAGACGTCCGCCCAGGGAGGGTGAGGAGCCACCACCTGGCTCTTTCCTCCCTGGGGGCGCACCACTACTCTTCCCTCCCATGGAAGGGTATGAGCGCTTGCCTCATGGCTGACTCTGGCTAGCAGACGACGACCTAGGACATTGTGTTTTCTGTGCTTGGGGTGCCCTCCGCTTGCCCTTGGCAGGGCCAACTGGTTAGCGGATTTGATCTGAACCCTCTGGTTCATTGCACTCCGAAGCTCCGTGACTGCACCCACCATTCTCTGAACAAAGAGGGTGGAAGATGTCCGTGGGTCGGTAAGAAGGGAGTCAAAACCCACAGCGGAGACCAAACACAAAGATAAATTCGTTACCGTTATACAGTTACCCTGGCTGGCTGAAAGTAGGGGGGGTAAACGTGTGCCCTGCCCTGAAAGCCCTGCCCCGAGATCGGAGGCTTGGCTGCCAGCACCCCTTTGGCATTCAGTGCCCGAGGCTCCAGAGGAGGCCCGGTGCAATTAGCCTGAGCCTCGGCCTCACCCAAATTAGTGGGAGAGCCAAGGTTGGGAACAGGGGTTCCCGGAAGAGATGTGTTTGAATGCAAACATGCTTTCGTGTTTCTTCCTGCTTGCCCACCGAGGGGCCGCAGTGGAGACAGCTCGCTCCGACTGCGTCTGATCTACCCGGCTTGCCAGGCACGCAATTGCCCCGACAGTCCTTCGATCAAAGCCCTCAACTCGGAGGCAAACCCGGCGTTGTGTGAGGAAGGGTCCACAAAGGGACCTGCAACGGGCCCCATAGGAGAAAAGCCTCCAGGGGAACAGCCTCGTAAAGCCGGTAAAATTGGGTAAACCACCGCCTGATAAAACTGACTGTGAGGATGCCCTCCGATCGCAGGGGGAGGCCGAGAAAAAATATCGGTACCTCCACCATCGGGCCTTCTACTCGACGTCCCGGTACACGAAGCACCGGTAGCCGAGCGTGAGGACTTTCCACTCATGCCAAACACGCACTCACTTTAACCAAAATCTCGGGCCTCAGAACTCCAGTGAAAAACACACGCCTTCACGGCAAAAACCCCGAACCCCGCATGCAGCTACGACAAAAGTATTCCGGATGCGGGTTCTATGCTGTTGAATTCTGAATATAACCACTCACAGTCGACTCAAACACAAGGAGACCAAAAAAAAACGGCAGCGAGCCCTGGTGCTGTCATTACATCTATTCATTTCTAAATACATAGATCAAGCATAAAATGAAGACAACATGCATGAGGGAAGCGAATTACAGTAGTAAAAGGTGCCGCCACGAAACCAACAAGTGGTTATGTAGTGGCACCGGGTTTTAATTTCTTTGTTGTGGAAAAAAATATTACACACAAGGGGGAAAACGATACGAGGGTAAAGAAGACAAGAGAAACTTATCCTACCAGTAAGAATGACGAATGCCGCCCAGCAGCAACAACCCAAGCTAGAAACCCGGACAGGAAATAGCAAAAGAGCCAGGCAGAGCCGCTTAGAATCATTTCCGACGTGGCGGAGATGAAAGAAGTGTGATTGTACAGCCGTCTATGACGCTGCCATATGGCCTCGGTCACGTGGTTCGTGACGTAAGGGAAAGAGAATCTTAGGGACATGGGGCTTCCCCTGACCTAGATTCTATCTCTTCGTCACCGGCAGAATCGCTGATTAATGCCTACAGTTCAAAATAGTCATTTCGACTGACCGAAGACTATGGTAGGTAATTGAACGTAGTGAATTTAAGCATTCTTGAGCAATCAGTGTATTATATTGTATTGCTTGAAAAAAAATAGTGATGTAAAATAGTGACTAAAGTTACATGAAACTCACCAAATTCAACATTTTATAGTGTATTCCTTCAAATACATTACTCTGTTCACAGAATCCAACTGCCCATCCCATGGCGTCTTTCCACTCACTCTTCTTGTCATAAATGTCATGTGATATGTCAGGTAGTCGTAGCAACAATTCACCAAAGAATGCTGTGTTTTCAAGAACACTTGAAAGTGCTATAGGAAGAAAATTATTAGGCAAGAATGAATTAACTAAAGAGGTTGTACTTGAATGAATAACCCATAATTTTTCAGTAGCATCATACTGTTTTAAAGCATATGGTGACGACTGATTGAAAGTCGTATTAAGTTTACATACATTTTGATAAATTGGATGTCACATTTTACAGATTATAAACAGATTTTAGTGGAAAATAAATTGCTGATGGCACAAACATAGATCATGTATCAATATATAGGATACCCAATGAGAGAACCAAATATCTAACGGAAGTAGTAATTTTGATATATTTCAAGCCTTGGGCATATCAAAATTACGGCACAAGTTCAATTAACGTTAGTATCAAGTGTTCAAATAAGCTTAAGACTTAGTGCAACTTTTACTGCATACAGGAATGCCATTCTTTGAACATGCTTTGTTTTCTGTTTATTGCCTGTGTTTAAACAAATAATATTTTTTGGAACCCCCAATATATTTAAGATTGTAAACTGTAGACACATTTTCAACACATTTAATTAATTTCCAGCAAAATCTATGAGCAGTCTAAACAATAAATTGGCAAGCAAATCTCATGCATTGGGCAATGTAAAGATGGGAGAATTAAAAATGTCAAATTCCTCAAATGTGACTATACAATGAGAACATGCTTTGGTGAATGTATGAAATTATCAGTGTACAATGCAATTATCACAAAATTACTCTGTCTATGGTCACTAAACAAGCTATGTTTTGGCAATTTTGGAGGTGACCAGTCGATGACGTCACAATCTCAAATGACATGCGATGACCAATCATTTTTATTGGCCATTATGTGTAATATTAAACAAACAGTTACCAAAGTGGAGATCAATATTCATTTTAATGACCTGAAGAGGACATTATTGACTGAGGTGCAGCTAATGTCAATAATTCCCCTGAGTGTCATTAAATTGTAACTATGTGTTTATAACCAAATAAATTACACTGCATAAATTGCTGGAGTTTGTTGTTGACGCCATTTTTTGTAAACAATTATGCACACACAGAAATTAAATCGAGGTCATTGTACCAAGTATAGAACAAGTTTGCAAGTATGATTGGCATATGTACGAACCAAAATATCATGTTGTTTAGAAATGTACCGTATATATATTCTATATTGAGTTTACCTTCTCTAGTTTGTTCTTCAGTTGGAAATTTCTCTCCTGGTATATAATTAGCTTGTTGTAATATAAACCTAGCACCATTTAAGACCTATATGCACACATAGAGGGTGAAAAGTGAGTGATATGTCTACAAGTACAACGCTTGGTTCATTCATGGATTTTTGCACAAAACTTGAAAATATACGGTGCAGTCTGAGCCCAGCTTGAAAATATCTTAGCTTGCTTTCAAAACCATGACAGATCCAAATAGTGCAGAGTAATCTATTTAACTACGCCCCAACATGTAAATACTGCAAAGAATAAGTTAAAAACAATGATGATGTGTGTAAGTTTTATGAAAAGTCCACCTCAGATGCCTGCCACCTTGGGAGTTAACACTTTGGCTGTACTGTAGGAGTATACACTTGATTTCTTTTTTGCTGAAAAGACATTTTGGTTGTTTTGTATGAATTTTATTTTCACTAATTTTTGATGATTTGAATGTAAAATATAGCGAAAAAGGTAATTTTTAGTTTCACTGATTCATCTTTTAAGTGAAAATAAATTCAAAAAATTATAATTTTATCAGTGTAAGTTTTATTATTAGTTGTTTTGGATTAGTTTATTAATTGTTCTTACCTCAAACAGTTTTTCAAAAACCATGGTTATGAGTTTGTATTGTTTCTCATAATCTTGTAATGAAAGAATGTTATTAATGGCTTCTAAGTGTTCTTGTCTTCTTGACTGAAATAAACGTCTATCTTGGTACGAATTAAGGATGTAT